TGGCCCACAACCCAGGCATGTGCCCTGACAGGGAATCAAACCGATGACCCTTTCATAGGCCGGTGCTCAACCTATTGAGTCACATCAGACAAGGCTGCATCATTATTTCTTATACTGTTGGATTTTATCTGTTAATACTTTGTTTAAGATTTTTGCATCTTTGTTCTTGAGTAATTGGCCTGATATTTTCCTCCTTTGTAACTTTGTTGATCTAGTTTCAATGCCAAGGTTATATTTACCTTAACATGTGTTTGGGGAATATTTCCTCTTCTACTTTATGAAAAAATTTGTGTAAGATTGAGATGATCTTTCTTGAAAGTTCTGTAGAACTCACTGATAAAACTACTGGGCTGAGTATTTTTCTCTTTTCCTTAAAAACTTTTCATATGGAAAATTTCAATTATATACAGAGAGAGGTTGTACACAAACATGTACAAAAACTGTTTGTATATAAACAAACTCCAGTTCATTACTCTAGAGAGAATGGGATCGTGAACCCCGTGAACCCCATGTACCCATCTACAGCTTCAAAAATATCAACTCCTGACAAACTTTGTTTTTACTCCTCCACTCATGGGATGAAATTTCAGAAATTATATATTATTGTTTATAAATACATCTGAGTGTATTTCTAAAACATAAGGTGTTGTTACCCTCCATTAAAAAAAACCCAGTGAACTTGAAGACATATCAATAGAATCTACTCCTTCTGAAAAAGAGAGGAAATAGATTGAAAGAGCATGAACAGAGTTCCAGAGATCTGTGGGACAATAACAAAGGGATCTAACTCTTGTACCACTGGACCAGAAGTAGAAGAAAAAAAACAAACTGAAAATGTATGTGAAGAAAATAATGGCTCCAGAAGATGAGTGAATCCACAGTAAGGCAAACATAAACAACTCGACACTAAGACAGGTAGCAAACTACTGAAAGCTAAAGACAAAAGAAAAAATCGTAAGAAACATCGAGAGAAACAACACATCTATTAAGGAATACTAACTTAAAGAACAGTAGATTTTGAATCTGAAAGTATAGAGGCCAGAATGAAGTGGCTTAACATTTTTCAAGTGCTGAAAGAAAAGAACTGTCAACTATGAATTAATTCCGTGTCTGGCAAAATTGTCTTTCAGGAGTGAAGGGGAAATAGGAAAACTCTCTGATGAAAGAAGACTATGAGAGTTTGCTGCTAGCCGATCTATCCTTAAATAATGACCAAAGGAGGGAATGTCCACTTTCATCCTTTTTGTTGCTTATGCTTGGCGTCATATCTAAAGTGTAACCAAATTTAAAGTAATTGAAATAAAACTTTCAGAGTATGTTGTCTGACAATAGAATCAAACTAGAAATCAATAACAGACAACAGGAAACTCTCTAAAACATTTGGAAAATAAACAACACAGTATTTCTAAATAATCTATGGGCCCAAGAGGAAATGTCAAAGGAAATTAAGGAACATAGAATTAAATGAACTACACTAAAAAAAAAAAAAACCCCACCATGACTGAGATGCAGCTTATGCAGCACTGAGAGGGGAACTGGTAGCACTAAATGCTACATTAGAAAAGAGGAAATCTCTCAAATCAATAATCTAAGGCATGACCACAAGAAACTAGACAAACACAAGCAAAATGAACCCAACTCAAGAAGAGGAGACAAATGATAAAGATAAGAGCAGGAGGTGACCTTACACTGGGTACCCTGAGGGGACAGACTGGAACTAAGCCCCTGGGAAAGGCATGGCTGAGTCTGAAGGGTCAGAATTGTTTTTAGGGGGGGATGTGGATAGAAGTGATTGTAAGGGTCCCAGTTTTTAAGCTTCCCCTGGGGGTCACCGGCAGATAGAGGAGTTCTCAGGTGTGGGGTTCTATCTGGGAAGAATGGTCTTCATGCACCACTTATTCCAAGGAGGATGGTTCCCTCTTCTGGGAGGGACAGACAGACAGCAAAAGGCATCACACCAGGGCTGCTCTTGGCCTGGAAGAGCTGAAAGAGCAGTCCAGGGTTGGGCCTGGTTCCTGGGGGGCCCAGCTGGGGCCTGGGGAGCAGGACGCTGGGCTCAGCGGTGCTTCAGGCTGGGTGATGGGTGCATATCCAAGGCCAGGCACCACAGTCAGAAGGTAATCATAAAATGTCCTCTTTGTGTTGTAGGCATGACAGTGGCCTGACCCTCAGGGACAGGGACGTTCCCTGAGGCCGGAGCTCGGTCAGCCTCCGAGAGGTTGCCCTCTGGGCTCAGCCATGGCCTCTGTGTGGAGAGAGCCAACAAGTGAACTCCAGACCCGTGCAACAGGTTCACGATTCACAGATGAGAGCAGAATCGGGTAACATCCCCCTGGTGGTGTCTTTCTCATGTGGAATAGAAACCAGTGGCCTTTCGCAGCCCCTCCTCATGGTGCCTGCCCCACCGTAGCCCCAGGGAGCCGCGTCCCGAGACACCGGCTGTGGCGCGGACGCCCAGCACCCAGGGTTGAGCGCCCCAGGAGCAGGAGCTGCGTCGGCCTTGTTGTCATTGTTTACAAGGAGCATTGCTGACACGAGGAGGAGGCAGAGGAGGGGCTGTCGGGCATGTGCAATGGCCTCTGTCTCCCTCGCTTGGGGACTGAGGGTGCTGTGGACGTCACCGCATGAACTGGCCCCAGGGTCAGCAGGACCCAGTCCAGGCTGCCCACAGGCGGCTCATGGTGGAGGAAGATGAAGGACTTACCTGGAGAGGGGGCGGTGGACGGGACACGGGCCCCTAAGTCCACATCTCGTCCCTAGCATCTGTGAACATGTCGCCTGATAAAGGGAACTAACAGGTGAAAGATCACGTGATTCGAGACTCTGGTGGTTCATCAGGTGGGCTCTTTATGATCACAAGCGTCCTGTCCTTATAAGGGGCAGAGGGAGGCAGGAGAGGCAGAGCCTGAGAAGGAGGTGTGCCGGTGGAAGCAGAGCACAGGGACTTCAAAATGCTGCGCTGCTGGTTATGAAGATGGAGGAGGGGCCATAAACTACGAAATGCAGGTGCCTCTGACATCTTGAAAAGGCAAAGACACAAGAAAGAACCTCCAGAAAGAACCAGCCATGTTGATGTTGTGATTTGTGCTGTGTGGCTCCGCCATGTTTGCGGTGATTGGCTGCAGCAGCTGTAGGAAACCAGCGAGAGGCGTCACCTTGTCTAACCAGCCTCGTGTGCATTGGGATAGGGAAGGAGTTAAAGCCCCATCGTGATGAGAGACTTTGATGGCTTGTGACGATCTCCTCTCATGACAGATTATGCTCGGGCAACGCGGAACGTCCCCGAGCTGTGGCTCTGCGCCTCAGTGATGGACCAGCTTTGCTTGTGTGAACGTGGGCACCCTGATCCGAGTGGACCTACATGGGAACAGCACCCATCCTGGGTGCTCAGGGGAGGCCTGAGAACGGCGGGCCCAGGTGTGTAGGGGGGCTGCAGGTGAGGCGTGTGTGGGAGGAGGCCTGTGGGCCAGGTGCAGGAGACACTTTGTCCCTTCTCCGTGGCAGCCTGGGTGAGAGTTTGTTGCTGGAACACCTGGACGCTCCGTTGTGGAAAGGACGCCCGAGCCAGTGAGATCCAGGTGGAGCAGGAGAGTGGAGACGGATGGGAAGTGGGGGCTGAGCTCATGGGTGAGCCAAGGAGGGCCTGCTCAGGCAGGAGTCCCGGGTCCTCCCCACCTCGGTTACTCTGGCCGCCTGTCTGTGTCCCCCACATGTAAAGGTGTCCCGAGGGCTAGCCTTTGGGTCAAAGCGGAACCTCATCGACAGAGCCCAGCGCCCTGGATCCTGGATGTGGGGACAGGCAAGTCTATTTGTGGAGGCCACCAGCTGAGGCCACCAGGGCCTGGGGGAGGAAGAAGGGAGGACACTGGACATTGGGAGACTCAGTGGGGGCCCCACCAAGAATATGTTCCCTACCAATGGGTATAGGCAGTGACCCCACGGAAGGACCCTTGCTCATCTTTTGAGAACCTGAGGTGACCCTTACTGTGTTCTCTTGATACACAGGGCACATGTGGAGAGGGGCAAACCCTGGGAGGGTCCATGGCCTGGTCCCCAGGGCCATGCAAGGACTGTAGGTAGTGTTGTCTCCTGGCAGGGCTATGGTTCCTGTCATTGTTTTTTAAAATCTTTTCTTAAGGGAACAGGGGGAGACAGAGAGGGAGAGAAACATCACTGTGTGAGAGAGACATCGATCAGCTGCCTCCTGCACACTCCCAGCTGGGGACCTGGCACACAAACCAGGCCTGTGCCCTGACTGGGAATTGAACTGGTGACCGTTGAGTTCACAGGCTGGAGCTCAATCTGCTAAGCCACACCAGCCAGGGCACCCCTGTCATTTTTGTGTTTCCTTCATTTTTATTTTTAATTTTTTAAATTTATTGATTGGGGGAAGGGGAGAGAGAGAGAGATTGATTTCTTTTTCCACAAATCCATCCATTCATTGGCTGAGCCCTGCATGTGCCGTGACCCGGTATTGAACCCGTGACCCTGGCACCCAAGGACGACATCCAACCTTCTGAGCACACCAGGCCAGGGCTCTGCCTTTCCTTTAACATGTCCCGCCATCTCCACACCCACATTCCATCCTTTCTCTCAGGAAACAGAAATGAGGGCTGGGGCAACTTAGAGATGTTTTCCCTGTGTGAACCTGGAGAGAAATGACCAGAGTTTCAGGTGAATTTCTACTAAAAGAAGTTCCCTGTCATAGAAAAAGAGCAAACGAGGGGTAGGTCCCCTTTATTTGGATCACACAGGTGGTCCACGGTGCCTCACGGCCCCAGTCACTTTCTGGAAGATGAGAGCCTTTCCCCTGGTCCCTCAGGGTCCAGGTAGCCTGTCAGGGTTGTCAGTGATCAGGAGGGACCCGGACCTTGGGCCCAGGTCCCCGAATATCCCCAGGACTCAAGAGCTGGTTCTCTGGCTCGGGCTCCAGTTCCTGACCCCCACAGGCCTCAGGGTCGGGGGTCTCAGGTCTCCTCCCCACAGCCCTGGGTGGGAGGAGCAGGTCCCCAGGGAACTAAGGGGCCCCGTTTGCTCTCGGGTGGATCTGGCAGTACACGTCTGTGCTCGGGCTCAGCAAGTCCTGTGGGAGAGAGAAGAGGCCTCTGAGCCCTGCATCCTCCCCAGAGCCAGGGCAGCGTTTCACATGTGTGATGGGGCTGACCGTGCTGGGGTGCCTGACCCCGGCACCCCCTCCTCCCCACCCTCTGTCTTCACTTTATGCTGCCGTTTCCTGAACGTGAAGCCCCGCCAGCCTTGGGCTGGGGCAGATCCTGGGCGCCCTCGGACCTGCGGGACAGAACGTTCGTCACCCCCACTCACCTCATAGATGGGGCAGGCTGTCCTGGGGGAGTCGAGGGGACCCTGTGCAGGGACAAGAGAGAGAGGGCATCAGGGGACAGGGAGGGAGGGTCATTTCCCCACAGGAGTGACAGCTCTGCCTCCTGACCAGCTGTCCCCACACCTACCCATCGCCCTGCACCCCAATTTCAGTCCACACTGCACCCCCTCACCCTTGGTAGCCCAGGAGCCCTGCCTGATCTCGCAGCCCTCACTCCGCTCCATGCTGGACCCCAGGGCTCTCCTCGGGCTGACCCGGGGGACGAGGGCAGACTCAGGGCAGGCCGGGCGTCTGTCCCTGACGTGGGTGCCCCCTCCAGGCCGGGCGGGAGGCCTTGCGCTGGCTGCTCTGAGGATGGGGTCTGTGCTGTGCGGCGAGGTTGGAGGGTACCCCTGCCCTGGGCCTGCACAGCCGGGACCCTGGGTGGAGAGACGGGGAGGGGATGGACTCACCGGGGAGGCGGAGGCTCCAGAAGGACCCTGGCCTGGGAGCAGAGACAGCAGTCAGCACCCGGGGGGTGAGGAAGCTTCTCCCCTTCTCTGGGGAGGGGATGGGTCCCTTAGCCCCCAGAGAACCAGGGGGGGACAGAACACCTCCCAGAGACAGACCCTCTGGCCATCATAGGGTCCATCGAGGGAGGGGATGACCATGATGCAGCCCTGCAGGTCAGGGCTGACAGAGGTTGATGAGAGCCCCCCGTCTTGGAGCCCAGGGAAGGGTCAGAGCCCGGGGGGGGGGACAGGGAGGAGTGGACTCTGTGGGGCGGGTCAGGGGCTCCGGCCACTGCCCGGCTGAGCAGGCACTCACCAGGGGTGGATGCTGGGGGTCGGTGCTCTCTGCGGCCTCGTGGGTCACTGGCCCTAGGAAAGGTCAGACTTCCTTGTGAGGGGAGCAGGGGGAGCTTTTGCGTCACAACGGGGGACAATAGGGTCCCTTTTTCATCAGAGGGTGAAGACCTTTCTCTACTGTTAAGGAAAGGGAGGGACCAGGAGAGGGAAACAGAGGCAAGGCCTGAAGAATCCATGGCTGACCTGGGCCCACAAGGGAAGGACGCAGGGGCAGGCGGGGTTCGAGAGGCAGTGACCAGGGAAGGGACTGAGGACCCGGGACAGGCACCACCCCGAGCGTGTGACTAAGTGGGAAGCTGAAGGCCGCAGAGGGAAGCAGGGCCAGCTGCCTGTGCAGGACCCTGGGAGCCCCGTGCTTGCTGCATCTGGATGAATGCGGTGTCCTGCTGGGGCCAGACCTGCCCCTCAGGCCCGAGAGCTGAGCTGTGACAGTGGCCTGTCCTCCATCTCCATCTGCCCAGACTAGAGGCCAAGATGACTGCACAGCGTCTGCTGTCCCGTCCAGGCCCAGGTATCCCATCTCATACATCAGGGGTTGTAGCTACCAAACTGGCCACGCGGGGGCGACTGAGCTCCCCCGGCCTGTGCAGGCTCCTCCACCCTCAGCAGTGTGACCTTGGCCAGGAGGCCCTTCAGGTCCTGGGGCAGCAGATCCCCCTCACCCGGTGGGTGGATTTAGACAAACAACCGCAGGTGCCTTACTGAGCACTTACTGCCAGCAGGCCCCGCTGCGGGGGTGAGGACTGAACCAGGACCATCCCGAGGGGACAGTCCCTTAGTTGTGAGCGATTTATAGACGAGGAAGCTGTTGAGGAAACTGCCCTGGTCAGCGGCTGGTGCCGGAGGGGCTGGAGGGGGTGAGTTAGGAACATCCACGGGGAGTCGGGAGGCCAGAGAGCCAGCCCAGCATCTGGGAGGGGTCTCCTTCCTCCTGGCCTGGGGTCAGCGGGGGTCAGCCTGGGGTGGGGAGAGGATTAGGGTGAAGGGAATGCCATGGTACCTCCTAGTCCTCCGGAGGCACAGGAAGCACCCCAGGGAGGTCCCCAGCGCCGCCACGACGAGGACCCCAATGACGATGCCAGCGATGGTCCCCACGGGGTAGCCCGAGTAGTTTTCATCTGCTGAGAGGGGAAGGGAGAGGGGGCGGGGAGGGGCCCAAGTCCAGTCAGGAGACAAGGAGGGGCCTCGCACCGGGGAGGCCTGGCTAGGGAGGAAGGAACTGTCGCCATCGGTGTGCGGTTTGGAGGTGCTGTCATCAGACCGTCCTTCTGAGGCAAGGCCTCAGGAAACCATGGCTGATCTGGGCCCGCAGGGGAAGGGCCTCCAGGGGAAGGGGTTCAAGAAACAGGGAGGGGAGAGAGGAACCAGGACAGGAACCGCCCGAGGGTGCGACCTACTGGAAAGGTCCGGGCCTCACTGGATCCAACTCCCTTGGTCACGTCACGTTGTTTCGCACACTTGAAACCTTCCGTTTGCTCTAACCCTGCAGGTTCTCTCACGCCTACCACTGCCCTTCCTCCTAACTCCTCTTTCCCCTCACACTGTGTCTCTTCCCTCTGTTTCTTCTCCATCCCTGTTGACAGTCTCAGAGGGCAGGCCCTGACCTGTCTGCTCAGTGCTGATTAGCAATAAGGATGTGCCTGACTGTGAGTGACCCTGTCCAAGGGCTTTAACCTCACAAATCTCACAAAAAACATCCTCACAACCATCCTAAGGCCCAGCTGTTTCTTTCTAGTTTACAGGCGAGGGTGCTGAGGCTCAGGTGGGTGAGAGACAAGGACGAGATTTGTCTACTTCTGGGTTCTTCCCCATGTTGCCCTGCAGACTCTGATGGAGGCTCCCAATTCCTTAGGCCTTTCATCCGTCTCATTCCCCAGCCTGTGAAGTACACAAGGGGGCAGGTGGGAGAGGCCGAGGGTCACTTACAATGCACACGCAGCCTGAGGGGCTCACTTTTGCTGGAGCTGATGGGGTTGGAGACCTCACACTGATAACCCCCAGCGTCCTCCCTCCTGACGGGCTCTATGGTGAGGGTGCTGTTCTCCTGGGACAGCTTCATCCTCTCTGTGAGTAGAAGACTCCAGTCATTGGAGAACCACCGGGTGGAGATCCCAGTGTCATTTGTGAGACAGGACAGGACCACGGTGTCCTTATGCTCTGTGACGGTGGTGTTGCTGGCTCGGATGGAGGGCTTCCCCACGGGCTCTGTGGAGAAACAGAGGAGGTGAGTGACGAGAGTGGGCTCCTTCCCCAGAGACCTCGGCCACTCAGTCCCCGTGAGCTATGACATGGTCACCAGAGGATGGCCCTGACCTCTGAAGAAGAACGAGTCTTTGTTCAGGTGACAATCCATAGAGAGAGGACTATATCTCTCCCTCTGATACCAGATCTCCCCAGGATGACCCCTGACCTGTGCCCTTGCACATCTGTAGTATCAGCACCAGGAACCTCTTCTCAGCCCATGTGTCCAGCATCCTCAGCCTCGGGGGGGATTGTCCACCCATTGACTTTTGTGTGACTCTTCCCCGCTGTTTCCTATGACTTTCTAAGTGATCAAACTCCCTTTCCATATGATGGCTTTACTTGGAGAAGGGAAGCCATTCCCTTTCCAGTTTGTAAAATAATTTATAAGACAATGAGAACAGCCCAGACAATCTACATGACCTTAGGACCTCAATAAATTCCAGTCTAAAGGATTTCTCAATGGGAACAAGACTTTTGCTTCCTGGCCTGTGGATTGAATATAAGAGAAGAAAGTAGAGAGAAATAGTCACAGTTCAACAAAGGCCGGGACTCAGCCTTCTCTGCAAACTCTAAGCTTTGTGGCACTGCTCTGCTGTCCCGTGAAGGGACTTCATGGAGGAATCTACCTGTTAGTCAAGGAAGCACCATTGCTCACTGCTCTTCCTTGGAGTATCATGTACGTGGGTGTCACACAGCGCTTCAGAGCTGGTGACTTCAGAACCAGGGCACAGCTCAGAGGCGTCTACACTGTGACTTGTTTCCATGCAGCCTGGCCTCGGGGAGCTCTGGTGTCAGTGGGTGGCACAATTTGGCCAAACTGAGGACAGGTTGCCCATGCAACTCCCCCACGGGTCCTGTCCCAGCACAGGTGGCAGCAGAGTCAGGCACCAGGTGAGCCTGGAGCAGAGCAGAGAGCAGGGGTCTGTCCTGCCCACCCTCCTTGGCGGGGGCTTCACCCTTCTGTTTGGGGAAAAGGAGGTGAGCTTGTTTCAAAGCCTCGTATGTTCCCTATAGCACATGGAGTAGGTCACAGAAAAGAAAGAGGTGACAGAAGGAATGAGTTAGTGGCAGATGAAGCAACTTAGAGGCCCCTTGGTTTTCCCCCTCTGTGGGGCCCCCTCTACCACATGGGGCTTTCTGGGGCTGAGGGAACCCCCTCCTCACTTTCCAAGGCTGGACCCCAGCTCTGCCCAGAGAAATCAGAAGAGCCAGGGGAGGAGAGCTGACAGAGCTGTAGTGGGGGCTCAGGGGAGGACCTTGTGATTTGCTGCGTCCACGGCCACAGGATGGAGATAACATCCAGGCTCTTTTCTGAAAAGCAGACAGACCTCCACCCCAGAGCCTCGTGCCCATGGTCCAGGGGGCACTTACCAGACACTGTGATGGTTTGACTGTGGTCCTATTGAGGCCAGTGACAGAGTTATGGGCGAGGCAGGTGTAGGATCCACTGTTATTCACAGTGATGCTGGGGATAGAGAGCTCCTGTGTGAATAGCTGGGGTCTCCCATTGATAAGCCACAGATACTGTGCGGGAGGGTCAGAGGCCGCGTGGCAGGAGAGCCTGAGGTTGGCCCCGGTAGGTAATGGGAGTCTGAGGGGGGAAATGGTGGGGGCGTCCGGGCCATTGGAGAAACCGAGCAAAGACACATGTGATGTAATCAGAGGGAAGGGTCTGTGTAAGGGCCACAGTGTCCTCTGAGCTGGGTTACAGCCTGGTTCGAAAAAGTCCCCACCATAACCCCTGTGTCCACTGAGTCTGATTCTGAGGCATTAATCTGTTTGCCCCATCACAGGTTGTTGATGCCCAGCCTTTCAAGACAGGATCCGCCCATACCATCCGAGTCTTGGCTCACGGCTGGGCCTGCCCAGGTTGGTCTGGGAAAGGAAGTCATGGCCAGCCTGGGTGTCCAGGGTGAGGGTCTGTGTGTTTGGGACAGAGAGGTATGCAGCCTTGCCTCTGGAATGTGGGTTCTGGTGGTGGCCTGCACCTCACAGGGACCGATGTTACTCACAGGGAACATTCTGTGCGATAGGGTCACTGTGGCTGGCACTTGGAGCAGAAACAATACACAGGAGGTCAGAAGGAAGTCTGGTGGTCAGTTCAGTACCAAGACTGCAGGACCGTGAAGTGGGCAGTGTGCCTGGGAGTTCATTGGTGACTGACATGAGACAGTGACCCCAGAAAGGGCAGAGCAGAGTCCAGGAGTGGTTTAGAAAAGGGTGAGGGGCACAGGAGCCGGCTGGCTTTGGCAGCAGAACCGGGCTCCCTGCCCTTGGTCTTTAGTGTCCCTTCTCCCACTGCAGCGGGCAGGGGTCCTCCCACAAACGCTCAGACAACAGCAACTACAGAAGGCGTGACTTGTGGGAAGTGCTGGGGCTTGAACTTGCTGAAAATATGACCCTCGCGGACCATTTGTGATTGGCCTTATGAGACAGAACTTTGAGTTAAATTGTGAAAAAACATGTGAAAATTGTAATTTATGTACCAAAGATCTAAGACCAGTCTCTGGAGGAATCTCTGTCTAGAGACATTGAAGGTCAGAGACCAAGTCCTGCCGTCCATGCAGGCTCACACTGTGGCCAGAGGAGGGTGCTGCAGCGAGTGTGACATCAGTGCCTCCCTGGGGGGAGAGAGAGGCTGTGAGTCCGCTGAGAGGACAGAAGTGATCAGAGGGCACGGGTAGGTGTCTCTGGTGGATAAAGGGAGGAACGACAGCAATGGTAGAAAAGATACACATTATGTCAGTGCATTTAGGAAGAAGGTCTCTGTCACCAGTTCCTATGGACAGTCAGGGAAGTGGGGAGGGGCCCCCACATGAGCACGCGGCTGTGCTCTTCCTTTTCTTTCTAACTCAGGAAACAAAACTAGAGCTTGATCAAATTCATTGAAATTGGATAGTGTCTAAGAGAAAGGAGAGGCTGGTTGACCATCTGAGAGGATCCCACCCCGTGGTAAAGGTGTCATCATGAGGACACACATGTGTGACACAGGCAGTGAACCAGTCAGAGGGTGCAGGGTCACCAGCTCCCCCTCGGGAAGGTCTCGAGGTCAATGGGAGGAACGGGAGCCTCATACTGTGTCACAGATGTGAGCCAGGGATGAAGTGATATCGTGAGTTTTCGGGGACAGACCCTTCCTTTTGCCTTTGACTCCCTGGTTTAGCCTTACAGAGCAGCAGTTTGCAACCTTTTTGGCACTGGGGACCGGTTCCATGGAAGACAACTTTTCCACTGCCCGCAGGGTGTGGTGGCGGTGGGGACAGGAGGTGGAGGTCAGGCTCACCTCCTGCTGTGTGGCTGAGATCCTAACAGGACACGGACTGGTACTGGTGCTTGGCTCAGCAGTTGGGGACCCCCGAGAGCATGTCCCTGTCACATGGGCTGTTCTTGTTGGGCTCATGGAGAGAAGGAGCCCTGGATGGGGGCACAGTAGAGGCTTTTCCCCTGGTGACCTGGGAACCTGGCTCACTGAGCTGGGGCTGCTGCTCTGACTGGCTTCTGTGTCCTTTCCTAGTGCCCAGGGGGGTGGGCCTGGACACAGGTGTGAGCAGGAGAATCCAGGGAGACTGCAGGGTGGGGGAAGCAGAGCAGAGCAGGGCAGTGGGGCTGGAGTGAAGAGGAGGAAGATGAGGGACACGGAAGGAGCAGAGAGAGCCAGAAATGTGTCCTCGGTGCACAGTGAGGGTCACAGGTGACTTGAAAGATCCCAGGGACCACGAGCCAGGGCTGCCCCAGGGAAGGACCAGTGCAGCTGGGAGACCCCCCTAGTGGCCAAGCAGCCCCACAGTCACCTTGAGACTTTACTCATTGGCAGGTGGGGGGGGGGGCGGGGCGGGGACTTTAGGGGCAGGCGGTCAGGGGATGGAACATGGGTCTCAGCCCCTGGAGGGGACAGGGAACAGGTGTGACCAAAACCTCTTAGGGCTCTGCATTGAGGTTCCATTCTCTACAGAGATTTTCATTCATTCATTCATTCACCATAATCTTTCCCTTCTTCATCAGAAGCAACTGGGTGTTTGTTACATGAGGGCCCCTGAGCTGGTTGCAGGAGTGAGAAGGCAAAGTCTCTTCCTTCACATCCAGTGGGAGTGACACCAGCACTTCAGGAAGCAAGTAAGTGATTTCAGTCCAGGGCAGGGAGGTGTGGATCGGCCACCTGATGGGGAGGCCTGGGCGTCCCAGCACTGACTCTGATTGTTACTGCAGGATATGTGGTTCTGGAGTGAAAACAGATTAACCCTCCTTTTGCTTTCACTCCCCATGCCAGAATCTCTCCCTCTGAGCTGGCGACTAAGCCTGAACCTGAAGGTGTCAGGGTCTGCGTTTGCATGGCAAGGCCCTTGGAGTGGAGGAGAGGGGGGGCCGTGGCTGCAGACAGATCTTGGTGTGACTCAGATTGGACGGCCCTGGTCTGCGTGACTCTGAGAGAGTGTGCCCCCTGTCGCTCGGTCTCCCCTGAGTAAAACAGGAGAGGTGGTAAATGGTCTCAGGTTGCCAGGTTGCCTGTGAATGAACCTTAAATCTTTCCCAATGTCCTGGCTGAACTAAAGTTTGGAGCAGAGGGGCTGCCCAGCTAACGGCCTCTGTTATCCTTGGTGTCCCCGAGAGAGGACTCCCTGGCCTGCTCCCTGGTGGACGAGGCGCTGTGAGCAGCATCTTCTCTGTTGCTCCCTGAAGACGAGCTGACCTTCCTCTAGAGTCTCTTACGTCGCCCAGGACAGGTGGCTACTGGCCTGGGGGCCTTGTCCACATGTGCTCTCCACTCATAGTCTCAGGTGAAGGACCCCTCCCAGAGGTGGCCTTTGAGGCTGATCCCTGGCTGGTGACCAGCTCAAGAGTGACTCGTGTACCCAGGAAACCATTGCTCCAAGTCAGCCCTTCCCAGAACAACAAACTCAACCAGTCACGGGCGCCCCAAGGTCCCTGGAGTCAGGATCCTGGGAGAGGGGTCTGGGGAGGGGCTGACCAGGCTGAGCTTCTCTGTGAAGATCCCAGGGGACCCTCAGTCCAGGCCCTGATTGAGCCGTGCAGGGTCTGTCTCAGGGTCATGGTCATGGGGAGGGGCCCAGGAAGCTGCACTGAGACTGGTCTCCCTCTGCTGAGCCTCTCCCATCAGGCTGGCCCTTCTCTCTGCGGTGGATGTCTGCAGGGCTGGAATCTGGGAAGGGAGCTCTGATCTTAGGAAGTTTGTCTCCACTCTGTGTGTCCCACTCTAAATGCCCAACCCCAGCCTGGGACATGATGCAGAGGGGGGCGGGGGCCGAGTCCAGGGCAGCCAGTCCTGTGTGTGAGGCAGAATTCACCCACCCGACACCCAGAGGCCACAGAGGGATCACTCACGGTACACACGGAGCTGTCCAGTTGCTCTGAGAGTTGATAAATGTTTTGTGATGATTTGTAGGGTATAGTATCCTGTGTCCTTCAGGGTGACGTTCTGTAACAGCAGGGTGCCATTGGGGTATATCGTCTCTCGACCGCTGTATGCAGGCCCCCGGGTAGTTTCTTGATTGTCTATTCTATATGATGCAATTTGCTTGCTGGTGTCCACATTTTCTGCTCTGAACCATTTACATTTTCCAAGATCCTCAGGCAGATTGTGGACAAGGAGAAGGACATCCTTCCCTTCAGCAGCATCGGGCGGCACTGACTCAATAGTGAATTGGGCAGTGGTGGGCGGGCTCCAGAAGGTGAAGAGTGAGCCTAGGAGGGAGGGAGAAATCAATTAGTTTGGGGGTCTAGATATTGGGAATATAGGGCCCTGGGTTCTGAGAAGTCTCTTCATCTCTCAGCCTCTGTGTGTGTGTGTGTGTGTGTGTGTGTGTGTGTGTGTGTCCCATGGTCAAGGTCAGCAGCACGGCCACCATTACTTCGGCACCTCTTTTATTTCTTCTGTTTTGAAAACTCTTCTCCAGGTGTCTGCCCGGCTCACCCCCTCAGGGCCCTCAGACCCCTGCTGACTCAGGGGTGACCTTGGGAAACACCTTCCCTGACCACCTCCTTAACAACACTCTCTTCACTCTCTGACCTGTCGCTGCTCTGTTCCCTTGGCCCTCACATCCAGATCTTTCCTGGTCTGTCGCCCCCTCCATGGAACACGACTCTGTGCAGGCAGGGGCTTGCCTGGCCTTGCTGCACCCCCAGTGCCTGCAACAGGCTGCGAGCACCTCTGGGTGAGCGAGCGAGTGACCCCAGGGTCCTGCACCTCCTGGGCTGTATTTGCTTCTTTCTCAGGTTGGTGGTAAGAAAAAAGTTTAGTGTCCTTGGTTTTTCCGGTGTCACACTGACATAAATTGTTATTGTTATCATCAGTTTTAAGAAGTTATTTCTTAGTGATGAACACCTTGTAAAACTTACTGTAGTCAAGGTTCTCCTGCCCCTGACCACTTCCAGATCATGAGATTTCCCTGTTGCTGAGCTCCCTCCCCCTCCTACTCTGCTCCCCTGTCCTCCTCCCTCGGGCCCAGACAGGAGCCCTCTGTCCCCTCTCAGAGCGCTGTCCTCCCCAGGGGACCCAGCCGATCTCCGTCTCCAACCTCCCGTCCACCCGCAGGGTTTGCCCCTCCTTACCGGCCAGCAGGAGTCCCTGCCAGGGAGCGCGCCCTCTGCGGGCGGGGACTGAGGGGGACCCCATGGCACCTGCCGCCTGCCTCCTGCTCTGTCCTTCCCTCTGTGACAGGGGCTTGGCTTCCAGAAATGCTCACGGGCACCGCTGTCCCGAGTGTGCGATCTGCAGTCTGTTTCCAGGTGTGGCGCCCGCTCGCTCGGGGTCCAGAGGCTCCCCAGTCACGTGGTCCGGGGCGGGGTCTGTGCCCAGGTCCTTCCCTCTCCCTTCCCCCATTCTGGCCTCCCCAGTTTCCTCCTTTTCCTTTATCTTCCGTTTAGATCTCAGACGCTGGGACCCTCTGAGGCCTCTGCCTTTGTCCGAAGCGATTCTGCACCCTCCATCCCCGACCCTCGTGCGCGCGCAGGCACCACCTGTCTGGACCCGCGCAAGCCTGGGACCGCGGGGCGGGGGCATTCCTCACAGCCTCACGTTGAGGGCGCAGGAGCCTCCCCTCCAGCCTCTCTTATCTCTTCGGGCTTCCCCCCGCCCCAAAAGCAGGAGTCCGGGGGCGACATCAGGAAAACTTGTCACAGGGATGTCGCCCCGTTCGTTGTTCATCGATCACCTGTGGAACTTGGTAAAGGTTGTGATGCCCAGGTGACTCCGTAGAAATGCTGCTTCACAGCTGTCCAGTAACGTGGATGCCCCGCCAGACTGAGACCCCGTGATGTGGGGGTGGGGCAGCCCCCCTCTCCTGTGCATAGGGAGGGCCCGCACGTCCTGTTACAAATGCGGATTCTGAGTCGGCAGGTGCGCCGTGGGCCAGAGACTCTGCATCGGACAAGCTCTCAGGGAAGGCTGACCTTGCTGGCCTGTGGCGCTCATATTCTTTCCTTTATTTTTTCATTTACCAACTATTTATTGAGCTTATACTGCTCTCTGAGCCCCTTTTTAGAAAGTGGGCATTAATTAGCAGTGAACAAAACAAAAAAATGAGAATCCAGTGCTTACTGATAAATCCATCAGAATGTTTCACTGGACATTTCTTGTAAACATCCCTATCTGTTGGGTAGAAAAGCTACAGGAGCGCGGGACCGCGCTTCCAGTAGCAAGGCTGGGGGCGGCCCCTTCCCTCCCCTGAGAGGACAGCGCTCTCTCCCCAGCTCTGGGCTCCGCTGTGTGCTGGTTTGGGGTCTGTCAGCATCGCACGGAGGGCCCGTGGGCCCCAAACCTGGGATTATTTCTGTTTGTGACACTAAACCCAGCTGGTCCCTGGGTCTCCCCCAGGTCCTCAGATGCCCTGGGGAGACTGGGTTTCCTCCCAGCAGGAAGGTCACAGAGGTGACTCTGGGGTGAGAGAGGGGCAAGCTGGGTGATGACTGGTGTCACCAGCCTGGCTTTTGCTTCTAAGGGCAGAGACCCAGGACTGGGTGTCTCCGAGGGACCTGAAGTTACTGGGTGTGGAGGGAGAGGTGTCGTGCGTGTCCTGGCAATAAAGATGCTGGTGGGCAGTCTGGTGGCTGTGGGCTCCCTGGTCCTCAGGGGGCAATTTCAGGGAGACCCTTGCCCTCCGTGCCTGAGGCTGAGCCTGTCCATGTGCTCCCTGACCGTGGGGGCGGCCTCTGTCCTCCGGAAGGACTTCGCTGTGGTCGCCCAGGCTTGCCCACAGGTGGTGCCCGGCAGGGAGTGGGGAGCAGCACCGGGGCCCCTGGCGGAGCAGGTGCTCCCAGGCCCCCAGAAGGAGCAGGTGGGGCAGAGCAGGCATGTGGGAGGGGCCTACAAAGGTCTGTGGTAGGGAAATCAGTCCCTTTTTCTACCTCTTTAGACAAAGCCAGGTTCTTGTGTTAGTGTCCAGGGTGTCGTCTGTGTGACTCAGTGTTGCCACCTGGAGGGTATGAAGGAGACCCGCGGCCACTGTCAAGGGGCGGCACCAGGGATGCTGACCAGGCTCCAGAGGGCAGGAGCGGACCCTGAACCCCTGGGAGAGACGGGCTCTGACCGCCAGGCTGAGCGGCCAGTGAGCTCAGCCCTGGTCTCTGGCTTCCCGACTCCGTCCCAGTGCAGCGTGAGCCCCGTGAGGACAGGCGTTGTCCAGGGGAGTCCTGATCCAGGGAGATGTGTTGTCTCAGGAGGAGCTCTTAGTCCCCGAGGTTTCGAAGGAGGGTCCAGGTGAGGGGTCTCTTGAGGGTTTCAGGAGAGAGATCAAACCTGGGGGGCTGGTCCACAGATTGCCGTGTGTGTCCCCACCGCAAGTCATCTGTGTCCCTGCCTGTCATCTGCTCGAGGCCTCCACACAGGGCCCAGGGGCTGGAGCAGCTCCACATGGAGACTCAGCCAGGGGATGGGGAGGCCCCTGTGCAACCCTCAGCCCCTCCGAGATGGAAGGAGCCCCGATCCTGGGTCCTCCTGTCCCATTCTGCGCGGGAAGCCCCCCTTGTTCCCCAGGACACCACGGGCTGGCTGGCGAGATGTTTTCCGGGGACCACAGGCAGGTGTCCCCAGGGACCAGGGACCCTGAGGATGGGAAATCACCCCCTGACTTATCTGTGGTCAGGACGGACTCCCTCCTTCCCTGGTGCTGACTCACCGGGGGTGGGGAATCCAGAGTTTGCACCAGGTCAGGTCTCTGAGAAGAGGAAGGACTCGGGCTGTCTGCCCAGCCCCCTCCCCAGGAGATGCCTTCACAGGGAAGAGCGGGGAGGACTGTGGTTTTCTGGGAATGAGGGAGGTTCCAACCCCCCACTGTTAAGAGGTCCTGGTCCTTCTTGATGACTCTAGAAAGGGTGAAGGCCTGTCCCTGGGACAGCCTCGGGCACCAGTGACCTCTTCCTGTGCTGACACCCATGTCTGTGTGACTCTAAGGAACAGGCTCTGATCCCAGGTGTCCACAGAGGGAAGGACATAGGGGGCTCCGTGCTCATGGAGTTTACCTTATAACAGAGAGACTGTCACTCAGTGTAATCATGGAACTAAGGAGTTAATTATTGAGAGAAGGGCCGTCAAGGGCAAGTGTCCATGTCTGGAGCATGCCCTTGAACCTCACAGGTCTGGGGATCACAGAGAGCCCTTCTGAGGAAGTGGCCTTCTGGCTGTGACTGGTGCGTGAGTGGGCATTCACCCCGGAAGGATGTGGGGGGTGTGCTGAGGCCTGGGAGCGCCTCCGATGGAGACGTGCATCTGGGCACCTGCTCTGAGCTTGCAGAGGGTTCCCTCTGCACTCAAAAGAGAAATGTTGATTTTATGTAGATTTTCCTATGATTTTAATCTTTATTCAGTTTATATAGATCATCTGTGAACTCTAATGCCATTTCTTTTTGTGAGTTTCTGTCACTCATTGCTATACGTAGAGGGTCACGCTTCCTCCAGAGCTGGGAGCACTGATACCATGAGAAAAGAAAGGTGTCCAAACGCTGCTGGTAATGGTGATGGCACTGGAGGTACAGGTGTGTTCCAGGTAGGTGCAGGCAACTGCTTTTGAGAACTTTCCACTCAATATCTCATGCAGAAGGCACCTCCCAGACCTGTCACTTGTTGGGATGGTGAAGGGCAGAAATGGAGGTTGGTAATTTAAGTGTTCCATTCAAGAGTGGACAACAGAGTCTGCCCAGAGCCTGAGAATGGACAGAGGACTGGTGAGGACACTACAATGACACCCCCTGTCCCCTAAATGAGGGGACATCAGAGGTTCTGTGGTTCAGAGAGGGGCCCAGGGAGGGAGGCGGGTGCTGTCAGCCCACAGGTGCTGGGAGTAAAACCTGATGCTGTCTAGTCACCAATGAAGTCCATTTTGGGATGTTCATATGTCAGGGATGATGTCCCGGTATATGATTCTGAAAATATAGAGAAATTTCTATGATATAATATTATTTTTTTAAAAAAATCTTATGTATCTATCTTTTGAGAGAGAGGAAGGGAAGGATAAAGACGGGGAGAGAAACATCAATGTGTGAGAGAATCTCGATCAGCTGCCTCTCACACACCCCAACCAGGAACCTGGCCCACAACCAAGGCATGTACCCTGATGGGGAATCGATTCAGCAACCCCTCAGTTAGCAGGCTGGCACTCAACCCACTGAGCCACACCAGCCGGGTGACAAATATTCCTTTTAATAACATGTTTCTTCCAAGTGACAGTAGAGACTGTGCATTCACTGCTAAGGCTCTTGTGAAGACGGTAAGAACATCAGAGGAGATGGTGCAACGACATGGCGGGTGGATTTGCTATGTGTTTCCTCTTCCCAGTGTCTGCAGAACTGCCCTCGTCTGACCGCAGCACAACCCAGGGGAGTCACTCTGACTGGAGGTTCTGCCCTTTGATTACCCCCAGGCCTCCAGCTGGAGAGCTACAGGCGGCCATCAATTAGTCACCTGCAAATATGTCTTCAACTGACAGACCAACTTCTGGCTGATTGAAGTTACTTTTTCTTGCATAATAAAGATGTCTGTCTCTTCTCTTCTTCACAAGGAGAGAGGTGCAGGGTTAGTTGATGTTGGAGGTCAGTGTAGATCCGTGGTTCTCACCCTCCCATTTCCCCAGGACACAGGGTGATGTCAGAGGAAATGCTCTTCACCCTCGGGGTGGGGTGGAGAGTTACACTGGAGGCCGGTGGGTAGAGGCTCTGGGGTGGTCTAATCACCCTACAGCACACAGGACAGCCCCCAACCACAAGGACCAGCCCCAACTATCCCTGGTGAGGAGACAGAGAGAGCCCTGCTGGGTGTCCTGCCCCCAGCGTTCCCAGGAGGCCTCTCTGGCCCTGCTGTTCTCATTTCTCCCGACCTTGGCCCCTCCGGTCCCCCTCCTCTGCATTTTCATTCCAGTCGTTCCGACCTGAACGTGTTTTTTCCTCAGGTCAGCCTTAATTAACCTCTCAACCATCCCTCCCATTTACTGCTCTTCTGGCAGGAGCCATCCCCTAGAGGGCGCTCATGATCCTCCTTGAGCCCCTGAGGTCCTTTGCCATCACCTGAGGCACATCAATGCAAGTGTCTTTCCTGCTGCAGCCCCCAGCTCTCAAGTACTCATTAGATTTTCTCAGGGTGAAGCTCCTGGGATAGACGTCAGGGTCCCTAAAAAGAACCTCACATTGGAGGATGGTGCAGCATGGGCTGGAATCCAGAATCAACCAGAGGACCCAAGCCCCTGGAGAGAGGGATGGACAGTGTAGGCTGGATACCTATGGACCAGATGCCTCCACCCTGTGGGGAAATGG